GTGTAAGTACTAGAGATTCAAAGATAACAAGCTTTATTGAACAGGTGTAAAAGTACTCTGAGAAAGTACTCTGAGATGAAATACCTTGCTGAAGGTACTGGGAGTCCCTCCCTCTGCTGTTTGTCCTGACAGTGATTCGGTCCAACCGCAGTGAGCGGTCGTTGGTTGAAGGACAACTTTGGTTTGTAATTCACATTTAGGGGAGTATAAAATTAGAAACATACATATTGTTAAGTCTGTATTTGGCTACAGCCTCTGCCCTGATGTCACACACCGTCTGTCAATGCAGTTATGTTTTGCCCAATTGGATTGATTGACAGGCTGCACAATGCGAAGAGAGGGAAGTGGGCATTTCTTGTGTTCTAATGTTTGTTTTTCAGATGAGAGATAAACTACCCCTGCTTCAGGGATGACAGTAGTATGGATCATAAGGAAATGAGCCTCTGCTTTGGCACCAAAGCCCACAATATGAATTGAGGACGATCCGGGAGGAACAACTGGAGATGATTGGAACAGTAATCTACACACACACAGATGCATGTTTTACACTTGGCCCACGACCAAGAGAGGGGAGTATGGTAATGTTATTGTCATAGGTGGTCATGGTCCTTAACCTTCTAAATCATTAGAAAGAAGTGTAAAACATATATTTACAAGAACAAATAAATAATAGAAAGGGCAGCCTAAAAAAGCAAAATGGGAAAATTATTAAGTAATTTTCGGAGTTGCCAAAATGAAATAAAATTCTTTATTTGTCCCATAGGGGGTCATTCTAAATTTAGTGTTGTGCAAATTCAAAAGGAGAAATAATAGCGCTTATAACATCAAACAGATCTACTCTTTAAGATAATAGATCATACAATAATAATAGAATAGAATGAAATAGTCTGGAGCTATAATGTCATTGGATTCGAGGAGCTATAGGTTGAAAAGTCGCTAAGAAGAGGTGTCAGAATAAACAATAGTAATAATAGTTAGACTAGTGAATAATCAAAATAGTTCTATTGTGGAAATAAGTATCAATAAGGTCAAATTGTTCTAATAACTAAAGTAAAAAGGAATCAAATGGAGTCAGATTTTAGATGCTTCTGTTTTCCACATCTGTAGGAACTAGTGCAGATGTGTTTATAGAGAGTAGTATTAAAATGCAGACACAGAACGACAGGCTTTAACACAGTTTTAAATCTAAAAATAGCTCAAATATAACATTGCTCTTGACGCAGCCTCTGAGCTGCTCCATTGGAGAACAGGTTAAATGTTATTGTTTATTATAAATAGCTGATATATTTACACATATTAAGTTTGGGACAACTCTTTAAACAGTTATAAGCAGCGGACAGAAGCCATGAATGTGCTTTTGTTTATTAAATAATTAAATGCATAGCCTTATAATCGTAGAGAACGTTTTAAAATAGTTAAAATCCCTTTCAGGCAACTTGATTTAGATGTATGTCTTTAATATTGGAGAACGACTGTGTTGTTTTTGGAATTGTCTGAAATACAATACATAGAATAGTGATTTGCAGAACAAGAACTAGCCAATGAAAAATCATCTATTGCCAATGCAATTGTTACAATCAGAACTCAAAAATTGGGAATATGCTTTGGCTCAAACTACAACCAAGATTTGGAGTCACAATAGAGTGTAAAATAGATAGATGCTTTCAAAAAATAGAGATTATTTTTAGACAGGGTTAATATCAAACGGTAAAAAGACCATTTCCTTCATATTATGTCCAAAAGTAGTTACTTCAAAAGTAGATAAAGTTCATGAGTGTAGCCTAGATTAATGTAGCTTAGATTAATGAGATAGATTAGAACCAACAGAGATTCAAAAACATTTAAAAGCATTTTGGTGAATTTGGGTATAGCACAAAAGTAGATCTTTAGGTAGTTTTGAGAATTTTAAGAGCTGTCGATTTGTCAGCAACAGATTAGAGAATCAAAATACCGTTGTATAGGGACTGACCCCAGAGAAACCTGCTAAAATAGATTAGCTCCTGTAACGATAATACCAATTTGATTAATGATGAAGAATCAGAATGACACAGCGGTGGTCATCAAAGAGTTTTGTGAAGGAATGTTTCGAATGTGGTTGTGTGTTGTTTGTTTTCTCTGTATTAACTCTTCACAGATATCAAGCCGGAACTAAGCACAAGTATTGATGATAAACGACGATGTGGATTGTGACCTAATTTTTAATCAGGTCAAAAGAGGGAAACTGTTGTATTTATAAATACGTGACATTCTAAAACCATGTGTTTTATGACCTAGCTAACCTCTAAGTGGGAGGCCAGTCCTTCTTATTTTATTTTAGGTGTCTTCTTGTGCCAGCAACTGGACAACAGATGGATTCTGCTGTTTGGATTTCACCCCCCTAGTCTTGGCCTGCTGACTTCTGCACTTTTCAACCTCACTCCATCAGGAGTCTGGCAGACGGAGGAAAAGGCTGGACCCTAGACCGGAAGCTGGCTGATAGGACACTCCCCTCCTTCCTGTTCTTTATATATGCTCTGGCTTGGGGAGACAGAGAAGGATCAGCCGAGGGCCAGGAGAGGGACATATTAGTTTTAGGAGCACTCTTTTGTTGATTTCTGTATCTGATTGTAAAGATAATTAAATGCAGATGTTAACCTTTGAGAATCTTTTTGTCTGATTTCTGTATCAAATTGTGGACACGTCAGCCAAAGGGAATTATTGGCTTCATGACTCACAGGGCTCTTTCTTTCAAGTATGCAAAACATATTTTCCGGCTAATTTCTAGTGAAGATTTCATTTGGTTATGACTTTTATTTTGTCTTTTACCAAAAACGATACATTATAAATCTCACAACAGATCGCTACAACTCTGTAGTTCAGAGATATATTTCAGGTTTGTTTGTTGTAAGGTCGTGGCACCTGGCTCTCCTGGGTGAGGCCTTTTCGATCTCTCTCTGCACATTTCTCTCCTCCTGGTCTCAGGGAGCTTCTTGGAGCACGAACACATGCAAAGCGTTAAATATTTCAATAAACAAGTCCACAATAAATATTTTATTGGCAGAACGATTGATATGAGCTGAAACTCCTCCATGAAACATGCAGGCTGCTGTGTCCATTTGAAAGATAAACATCTAAAGGCTTCACACAGCACCGTTGGTTAAAAGCCTCAACGCTGATGAAAACATATTCTGCAGTAATCAGCCATGCTTTTATACAATGCACGCAGCGAGAGAGCTTTACATAACTGTAGTGGTAAACATTTAATCATAGCGGTCCAGAACATGTCGTGCCTAAACTTATATTCACACAGTTACTTACTGAAGAAAAAATGGCATTCCAACTAACGTATTGCCTATCAATGTTGAAAACCAATATGTCAAAGCGGTTGGCCAACGCTAGGGACGTAACCCATCGGTCAGTTACAACGCTGCACCGCTGTTTGGAACCACTCGGTGGCGGTATCACGCTTCCCCCCTTGAAATGTATCTCACACCCCAAGAAGGCAGATCAGGGGAGCCGCAGCCAAAATAAAATTGTTAGAAGTTAGTTTTGATGTATTTAGAGGCAAGCCGTAAAACTTGTCATATCGATATTACAGTTCAGGCTCCAGGGCGAGAAGTTCCACAGAAACAACACCCTGCCTTCTGCATTGGTCAAATGAACAGTCTTTTTAGCAGACTACCTCAGTAATAAAATCGGTATCAGCAAGTAGGTGACCAGATTGTACAGCTTTTTGTCTGTAAAACAAAAGAGAAGTCATTCGATTACTAAATTGTGTGCATGTGCTTAGATAGACATGGCAGAAGGCATGGGAACGAAATGCCAAAGTTCTCAAGATTGGCAAGTGAGCGATTATGGTGGTGGTAGGGGCTGAGGGTACAGAGTGGCAGCCTCGTCTCCATCACCTCAGAGTAGGGAGTGAATTTTGTACTTTGGTGTAGACTGGGAATCTCGAGCCAAATTCAGGGCTAGCAATAAGATTGCAACCAAAAAGCTAAAAAAGGACATTGCAGGGACGATGTTTGTAGACAGGATTCACGACAAAGACCCAAAAAAATAAAACAAAACAGTATTATCCTACAAACCGGTAAACCACGTGTATTTAATGTAATCCAAACCAATGTTTGGCGCCGTAAAGATGACGCCGTGGCAAGAGCTCTGATGTGTGTCGTCTGGTGCACACTGGGGTAGTCTTGCACAGTTTTTCCAATGTGGTTTTACTGCAAATGGCAAATAAATGAATCTGAATCTGTTTTGACTTAGAAATTGAAGTAAATGCACAATATTCATGCAAGCCTAATTTCTGAGAAGTCACACACGATACATGTAGTCCAAATAATTTAACATTCCAATGATTTCTTGTGTTATTTTAGCTCTGCAGTGTTGGAAGCAGCTCCACCGTGCCCATCTCCGCTTGAATAATGAATAAAAAACATTGCATTTAATTTTTAGACAAGCCATGTGTAGCAGATATTCATGTGAAAGTGGCGTGTTTTGGAGTGCGGAGGAGGGCTTATCTGTGCCCTGTGTTCTCCCATTGAGCCATGCAAAATGTAGGACTAATTAGCATGAGCCGAGAGCAGCCAACTCAATTATAATTCCATTGTTATTCACTCACTATCTTTACTGTTTTTATGTGGGTTTGATTACTCTGTTTATGATGGGACATAATTGTGTTTTCGGCATTTGGACGTGAGCGTTTTTTATATTTTACAATTGTTGACTTATTGGACTGAAGACAACATTTGGACAACATTAAGTTTGCTTCTGTTTAGTACGTTCACCATTACAAAGTAATACACAAGTTTTCATTTGCCTGAACTAACTGCTACGCCGTACCACAAAAAGGTTGGAATGTTGTGGTCTATCTTATTCACTACATTTTACTAATACAAGAATCTTTCTGTTGGACAAATATAATGCATTATTTATTAAATCAAGAATATTTAGGTACCCAAGCTTAAAGTAACAGTGAAGTTAGCTGTTATCTTCAGAATGATAATAATTTCTCCAGTTTTTCTCTAGTAGCCCAAACATTTGTACAGCTTGTTGATTTTCTTCACGTCCAGATCTGACAGTTGGTCCCTTTGTCCGATGGGAACATTGGGATCGGGAATGGGAACGATGGTGTCCGCCCACCTCTTTCCAAAAGCGTCTCTGGAGACGGAGACAAAAACAGAATGAGTGCTTGTGGACGTGTTTGTGGTGCACCCTGGTCTGTGCTCTCACTTTGAATAGTGCATGATGGAAGAATAGTCGTAGGGAGTGTCCAGGTTGTCTGTATCGGCCTTCTCAAAGTTTTTGGTGAAATCTGTGAATGAAATAGTGTGTAAAATACATTCTGCATTGTCCCCATAGGAAGATTGTGTCCACTTAGGCAGTGGTTGCCACAGTACATCGCCCAGGGACCCATCTCCAGATGTTAAGACTCATAATTATTTTCTCTGGTGCATGTTTTAAAACCCCTCACAGACACAAATGTATTATTACTCTTTCACTTTAAGTTATTTACGTCAAGCTGCTAGAACACAGATTTTAAACTGGGACACCATTTTTACCAAACTCCAAACACCTGCCAAGCTTCTATCCCAGTCAGTGAAGTACAAAATGTGATTGGCCAGCCTTACACTCCAAGATGTTATCCCAATTGATCTGGACGTAGCGGTCGCGGTCGCTGCGATTTTGCTCGTGGTAGAAGCCCATGGCGTGCATGACCTCGTGCTGAATGATGCCCATCTGCACACAGCCCAGTCTCTGTAGGGACACGGTCTGCTTGTCTCCAGTGCGGCCCAGCAGAGAGGAGCATCTGCACCACAACATGGAACACAATGATGTCATAAAGTTCAGGCTACAGGCTATAGAGGCTTTGGAGGCTATATGGAGGGATGCACTTACAGAACCGGTGCCAATATTGGAACTTTCTTATATCGATCAATATCCGGATCAAACCTTTCATTATATGTGACGGGCTGAGTGGATAGCACGCTCGCCTCTCAGCAAGAAGGTCCTGGGTTCGAATCCCGGTTGGACCAGGGCCTTTCTGAGTGGAGTTTGCATGTTCTCCCCGTGTCTGCTCCGGTTTCCTCCGGGTGCTCCGGTTTCCCCTACCACTAAAAATATGTACAATAGGTCTGGCATGTGCCTCCTGTACTGGCACCCCCACTCACAAAAATAACAATTGTAAACCGCAGACTCCGATGTGCAGTGAAAAGGCGGTATATAAATAAAGATTATATGTGATTATCCCATTAACTGGCTTAATTTATGTTGTTCTGTTGTTGATAAATGAACCCTATTGGACCATTTTTGGAATAACTTGTTGCAATTAGAATAAATCAATTCTATTGAGAGATGTGTACAAGCCTGTGAAGCACTTTGAGTGATTTTTAACCTCTTCACTTGGATGGGTTTTCCATATTATTGAGTAGTACTTACTTTCCTCATGACATTCCTGCTTTTATTCCTGGGTCTATAAGATTCTGGGTCGTACTGTTTAACGTCTGACAAGGTATACACCGATTTGTGGGTCTTTAAAACCGTTACATTTGGTGCAGCTGAAGTCATTCAGATGATGATCGCTTCTTTTCTGGATAGCACACAAACTTAAAGCTGGAATACCTGACTTTTTTGTTTCATAAATTGTGAAAATTATATGCTATCATCTCAACACTCGTAATCTTTAACTTACTTGTAAGAAAGAGACATATGAGACTGTATTTGAACCTTTGAGTGACTGTACATGTTTGTGAAAGCTAGTGAAGAGAGGAGCATTTGTTGTGGTTTCAAAGTGAGGTACACCAGCTTTAATAACGTAGTAGTTTAATATTATACATTGTTAAAGTTCTCGGTGGGTGAAACTGTAATGTCAACATGTTGGGACTTTTCTATGCATATTCGTTAGCTCACCCGTATCTCGGCTCAAAACTCAAGTAAGCCGTCTCGCTGCTGCGTGGGTGGAAGCGGATGCAGGTCTTCATTTCAAAGTCTTTCAGTGCTCGCAAAATCTCCTTCTTGTCTTCGAAGGCTGCGTGGGGAGATAAGAGGACTTCTCAGTGTCTGAATATTCGCAGATAAAATAGTTAATGAAAAGGTCCTTTGAAAGCGCTTACTGTACTTGTCGCTCAGCGTGTAGGGGATCTCCACTCGGCCGTTGTCAGATTTGGGCCAGAGGCAGCTGTAGGTGGAGCTCATGCACTTCATGGCCGATCGACTTCTGGGCATCTCAAGATCCCCTTCCAGAAACTCAGCAGAGCCTATGCATGAGGAGGACGTGAACTCCCAATAATGAATGAATGAAGATTTTATTACCGACTCAGAGTCCAACATGGACACAAAAAAGACAGAACACACAAGTTAAAAAGACAAAATACAGCATCCTTCACTGGTAATGAGTTAGGTCTTTTAGGTCAATGTCTAGTTTCCATTGCCTCATGACGTGCTGTTTGGGTTTAGATCGGTCTTGGTTCAGGTATGCTTTTGAGTCTGGTTTTGGGTTTGGTCTTGGTCTAGTTTTAGTGCTGGGCTTAATTCAGGTCCAGCTCTGATTTTGGGTTTGGTAGATATCATTCACATAATTTGCCTCATTTTACTACGTCATCCAATCATTATCATTTGTCCTACTTTAACAAAAAAAGATAAAAGAATCTGTTAATTTTGCGACTGCAGACTTCAGGAGTGTTAGAGATTTTAAGTCGTGACACAGACCACAGACATAAGAATAATCTAAAGGAAAAAAAAACTGCTTCAAGGTTGCAGGGACCTTTTACTTTCACTCATGGTTTCCATAAAGAACATGGCTACATCCAAATTCATCAATACACCCGCCTTCTATCTAATTTATTCTCATTTAAATACATGTTAAATCCTTATTACATTCAGCATCAGCACTTTTGGGTTGTATATTTCACTTGACCAAACTGCGAATTTGTTAAATACATTTTAGATCAGCTGCAGTTTCAGTTGTAGAAATATGGCGAGTGAAGAAAAACCTGTTTTACCAAGTGGCATGTTCGCTACAGACGACGTGCGCGATGGTAACGCCGTCTGTCACCCACAAATTTTTTTTTAGACACACAACTGCGAGTGGAATTTGAGGTTCTGGACTTCAGTACAATTATGGGCGCTCAGTCTGGATACGACCCAACATCATTTTCTTCATGTGGCGAGAGGACATGAAGGGCTGCATTGGTGGGAGTGTGTGTGTGTATATGTGTGCGTGCGTATGTGTGTGTGTGTGTCTTGTTGCAGATTGAAACATGGAAACACCACGCACATAACTTGAGAAATACAAATCAGGTTTAACAGGTGGTTGAATATTGCTCTTTTCCGTCACTGTGGTCTTCCTGCTGACAAACCCACTTGTAGATAGGTGTTTTTGTCATTGTGCTGCAGTTTTGTGCGTCACCGTAGCACCTCGGCCTTGATGTGACAACTTCCACCGAACACACAGACACAACGACTGTTACGACAAAACATCATACGCGAGAATTGTTAGACAGGCCACGCCTCCCCGAACTGAAAGATGGCTGAAATCAGGCAAATCAGGCAGGTGTGTGTGTGTCTATGTGTTGTGTTGATTGAGAGGGAGAGAGGTTGAAGAAGCCAAATGATTTTGCTTCATTCAACGATTTTGTTCTAACTGTATAGCTTCTTCTTCTATATTTCCATCTTGCATGTATCGTATGAAATGTATTCTTTGAAATAAAAACAACCACTTACACTTACACATTATCACCTCTCCGGGAAAAAAAACCTGGCGACTGCAAACTCACCCTTGTTCATGCGCAGGATAGTAGTGGAAAGGTCTTCTCTCCGGGGCGGGTCTAGAACGGGGACAGAGGCCGCGGTTATGGTGCGACTGTGCATACATACGGCACACACACGCGCCTGATCCAGACTTCATCAATTCTACTGCCCCACAAACAGCTCTGAGCTCTGGCCACTTACCCGCAGGGCTCCCGGGGTTCTGGAAGAGAAGCAGAGAAAAGCAGATTCAGGCAATCACTCCCACTGCGCTGTTCCACATGAAAACAACCTTATTTTAAGCCACACTGTGCAGAGATGGGAGCTGCAGCATACGGGGAAACACGGGGGCCATCAAAATAGGTGTACTGGAGATAGGTAAACATTGATTATCGAGTTTATACTTAAACTCTTAAATACTTAAAGCTGGGTTACCGAACTTGGTAAAGAAATACAGAATGATAGAATCCATTCCCCAAATAAATTGCACATACACTCTCTGTAACTAGATCCTCACTCACAAAAACACAATAACTAGAGTTCTGTTCACATGTATGTATTTTTGGCCTCCCTCAGCTTCTTAGATCAGCATTTTCAGACAGAAAAGGGAAAAAGAGAGGAGCCAATCATTGCTCAGCCCATAATGAATGCTTTTCTAATAAAATGAAGCATGGTGTGGTACTTTTATAAAACTTTTTCTATTGGAGCAATTACCGTGTTTATTTATGAATGAAAAAATAAACTTTGGGACGAATAAAGGAATTCTTCTTCTTCTTCTTAAAAAAGGTTAGGTTCCCATAGAGCACTAAAAACATCTATAATTAAGTAATGTACGTGTTTTAAGCCATTTCAGGAGACATATCAAGGAAAGCAGTGATATTTACCAGAAGCAGCAGGAATCAGATACCTGCACCGGAAGAGGGTTACTACCAACACAGTTTTGTCTGGGAACCCTTTATTCATTTTCTTGTAGGACAGGTGTGGCAGTTGTGGTAGTGCTAAACAATTACTGCTGTTTTAACATTTCTGCTGGATCTTTAAACAAGCGTCATGCTATTGTTTGTCCAATGGAGCGTCATCAGTGTCCTGCCGTCCCTCCCCGTTCGTTGATTGGCCCCAAATCCTTGCAAATTTTTCCACCCGAGTTTCCAGTCTGTTTTTAGGTCCAAATCATTTTACCACACACAGCAGTAAGGGGATTCCCAGGCTACTGTCCCGCTGGAATATTTCACATTCTATGAAAAACTAAGCTTCTCTGATCATAATACTCCTTTACTTTTGTGCGACAACATTGAACATTCATGGCTTACGTGTCTTGGATGAGCAGAGGCCAGTCCCAGCAGCAGCAGCAGCAGCAGCAGCAGTAGTCGCAGTAGTGACCCAGTGTCCATGTTAAAGACTGTGTGAGTGATGCTGTCTGGATGCTGAGCGCTTTATAAACCAGAGGGTGTGTCTGATAGTTTGCTTTAGCGGTGGCCGTAGTGATCTCACAGTCGCTTGAGTAAAGAATACTATGTAGCGATAGACTCTTTCAGTCACCATCGGAATTCAGTCCGAGCTGTTTCAGTATTCAAACTATTACATAACTATTTATCTGACCTAATTTACACTCGCAGAACTGCAGAGGAACTCGTTTGATACTGTTGATGCATGGTAGAAGAGAAATGAGATCACGGGAAATGATTTGAGAGTGGATCAGTTTTTATATAGTTTACTCATTAAGTTTTTATTTGATTTACATTTTTACCATTTCTATTATTTACTTGTAGAAATAACCCAAATGAATGGCTCCCTTTGCCACATAACCAGGTCAACCATGAACAATTTTGGCTAAATGAATGCCTTCTTTTTGGCCGTTAAAAAACCATAATGAGGCTTTTTACTTTATGTTTTTGAACGTGATATAATATCATGAGCAAAGAAAATAAATGGTGAAGTATGAAGGAAGACCTGATACGGGCAATAGTTTGTTCTTTTCTTTTCTGTACTTTATTAAACCGATGTCATCATACTATCACAGGAGAGACAGAGGGCTTACAGACAGAAGGAGCGTAGATTGCTCCAGAAGTCCCTGATATTAGCATGGATCTCAAAACAATTCCACAGATGAGACTCATGAAGAACAATGTTGGAACATGGTTAAATATCTCCAAAGATTTACATTTTGTTAGTTCCCGCTTCTATCAATTGATGTTGTACTCATTCCTGACCATTTTTAATAGATCTATCTTCATGATTTTTCAAAGATTGTACATTGAAAAACATGCAATACCATACTTAAGAGCCCAAAGGAACACAAAGAATGGCTTATGATTGTGTAAGTATATTAGGTGTCCTCTCTCCACCCGTGTTTGTCTGGAGGGCTGGACAGCGGTGCTCCCTGCCCTGCCCTGCCCTGCTGCACTGTGGTCAAACAGAGATAATCTCATTGGGGAGGATTAGACGAAGCCCAAGTCTCTGTCTGTTCTTTTAGGATCACATTTCAGCTGGCCTCTGCAGCAGCGGGAGTCTGTGCGGCAATTTTGGACCTGTCCCAGTGGCTTTATGTCAACATAAAATTGCCTTTTATTCACACTATTATTTCCTTTAAAGGGGGAAGAGCATACATAACTATTTTCAGCTTTCAACCATGTTACAACATCATTCCCTCATTAAAAACCTACTTTTTTCAAACGTGTACTCTGACTTGATTAAAGTCCTCAGAATTTAGGCACGCATTTATCCTGCCCTGTAACCAAATCTTATAGACACGTTGAATGTTTATTTATGATTGCAGTCATTTCAGGCATGCACAGTGAACCTGTAGGGCAGAACTAAGCATAATCCTGCAGTGGATGAAATGCCAAGATTTGTCAATGGTACTGTTTTATCTCCGATGAGAGGACAGCTTTAAATATTCAGCTTTAAACGCTGACATTTGATTTTGGGTGCACAGTTCATATGAAATCAAAACAGATTTTAGACCAACTTTGAGCGGAGGATCAGAGATGTGACGTGTTACTGTGATCAAGAAGATAAGAGATCGGACAAACAGGCACTTCTTTTTCATAGGACAGGAATGACGGCTGTTTTTACTGTTGTCTCTGGGTTACGAAAGGTTTCATATAAATCGTGCAAGGACCACACAGCTTTCCCAAAGATGATGATTTTGGGTCGAAGTTAGTGTGAATCTTCCGGTTGCATTCTTCACAAGCAGCTATATTGCCATCGCCGGGTTTAATCTGCCGGGAACTGGGAAATGTCCTTCTTTCGTCTATTTGTGCAGCTCATCAAACTACACTAATGTTCCATTGTATTTTCTTATCAAAAACTCACAAAAAGAACTACATTATTGGTCTTTACTGTATATTTAGGATGTTTGTTTGGAACCTTTCATTTTGACACAGGTCCATACAACTTTTCCCATTCTTTCTCAGTGTCGAAAAGGCAAGGCAAATTTATATGTATAGCACAGTTTTTAGACACAAGGCAACTCAAGGGGCTTAACAAAACAAGAAAATCGCACAAGAAATTAAAATCCTAAATCAAAGCATTTTTAACACTGGTGAAATAAAAGAGGTCTGCAGTCTAAAAAACGCCTTTTGACATCATGATCAGAGCAGGTTTCTGCCTTTTTGGTGAATTTTGGGGATATCTCCAGGGAAACCCAAGACGAGAGCGGCCTGAGCGTTTTGCAGGCGCAGACCATTTGTGCAGTGTTGTTCAAAATACTGTCCTGTTCAAACGCAATGAAAGAAGTGTATATTTTTCTATTGGATTTAATTATAAAACATATGAATCTCATATTACAACTAAACCTTGAGAAAGACTAATTATTCCATGTGCTGCAGTGGAGCAGTCCCCTGGCTCTGACTTGGAGGCCGCTGCTGAGCTCTGAATGCTCTGACCTTGTACAATGAAAAACATATATTTCTCTCATTACTTCAACACCACTGAGCACATGTTAATCAGAAAACCATTTACTATTCTGCATCGTCTCTGCCTGCACCAATAGAAAAAATAAACTCTGTGGAGGCAAAATCTGAACATTATCTTGAATGTGAATGACAAGCGGAGGTACCTATAGACATAAGTACACAGAGTGGCTTGTAAAAGTAAAATTTTCAAATCAGACCACAAAGGCTTTCTTTGTCTTATTAGAATAACTTTTGCATACTCAATATTTGGCTCTTTGGGCTAAGAGTGATTCTGTCTTTTTTGTGTGAAAAGGCTGTTCCAAAGATGTGAAAAAGGCCCAAAATACATCTACATGAAAGTTAGTGATAGAATTTGTTTTGAGAGCAATTAACTAGTTACGTGGATTTTACGGCACAGTCCATTGGTGGTGGTTTGTATCCTAGTTTGATTTAGCAAACCTTGCTTGAATAAACCTGACAAATTGTGAAAAATAGGGACTAGAATTATTTGGGAAATAATAGATTTTGATCTTAGTCTAACATGGTGAGTACTAATTGAGGGAACAGAATTGTGCTTTGGTCTAAAAAAAGTAGAAACTTGTAGAGGGTATATGCATGGTTTGTGGTGGCTTACTATTGGGCCTTTTAAATGATTGTACTGATTCATGCTTTGAAGAGGGAAATGAAGCTACTGATTAAATGTGCAGCAAGTTACAGCAACAACCAACACAGCACTTTGACCAAATTCACTGATAAATGACAGCACATCTTCATCGCACCCCAAAACAGAAAAAAAACGGTGGCATGGTGGTTTTTCCTTGCCTATTCATGTGGGTCTATAAGGACAGCGATCATGATCCAGGACACTCGACATTCAACCACATTTATGGAAGTTGATCATCTGCTCCTATGTGTTTTTCTTTTTTTCATTGCATTTCTTGAGTTTAATCTGTTTGATTCACTGATTTGTGTTGGCGAATTCAACTATTTTGTCCTTTGAGATAACTACAGTGCAACTACACACAGCCTCTCACTTTGTCTGCCATGTCTCTTAAGTTTTCATCCTTTCCTTGTGTAAAAACGCACGCAATAGGCTTAACATGAGCACACCCACTTCACTCTGCAGCCCTCATGACGCAGATAGAACATTAAGAAAGAAGCCGGCAAGATTCAACAAAGGTTTTGTCCCTCATGTTGTCCTTGTTCCAGCATTACATGTGTTTCTTT